AAATAGACTTTGATATTTGGGGGTTGCAGTTGCTGGGATTTATAGTTCACCTACAATCAAAGAGCATTCTGAACCCCACCAATGATAAAGTGGGTCAAACTTCCCACACAGAACCTCCATGAGCAACAGAAAATGCTGTATTTCTAATAGTCTTTGGCAACCCCTCTGACACCCCCTCACAACTCCTCCAGTGGTCCCGACCCCCAGGTTGAGAAACCCTGCTCTGTGCTCTTCTACAAGGATGGACATCATGTTGCTCCCCCAGTTCACGATAAGCTCCAGTTGTATGGCTGGCTTTGTCTAGTAAGGTGTCCAGGTGGAGAAGAGAGTAGGAAGTCAGCATCTTTAATACCTGAGAATTGGAAGACATAACTGTGTTAGCCTGGATCAGTATGCAAAGGGATCTTTGAGACTGAGAGAACGTGTGTGTGTGTATAATATTTTTTCAGCAATTTGTAAAGGCAGTAATGTCTCCATATGACTTATATCACTATAGATGTACATTTAAACTGATTTCCCCCCCATGCACCCACCTGAAAAACAATAATCAAAATGAGAATAAAAGATTAAGATGGACCTCCCACCTCAAAGACACAGTGAAAATAATATAACTCTACTAATCTATCATTTCAGACAGTTTCCTCATTCTACTTTACTGTGTTAATTTCTTACTCAGTCTTCAAACCCGCCAGCATTTTGACATTTTCTTTCTTTCTTTGAAAATGATATCAGTGGTTTTCATTCTTTTAAAAAGTTATAAGTTGATTCTTTAACAAGCAAGATGATTTCTCAATTTCTGCACATTTTAAAACTTTTGTAATCCAGTTTTATGTTAAGGGTAGTTTAGGGCAAGACTTCATTCCAGATGGACAATCTCAACCAGGAAAGTCATGAGCCTGTAAGACCTGAGTTGGGCTGTTGACTTGGAAGTCTCTTATTCATTGGGTCCCTATAAGTCAAAGCCAACTTGAAGGCAGTTATCAACAAGGGAAGTAATGGTATGCAAACTTAACTTAGATCTAGTGTCACCTTTTAAAATGAAAGCAAATTTGTTTAGAGAACTACATCTTACACTATCTGATTTGGTGGACTGGCTTTTTGTTCTCTCTTGTGTCAGGAATTGTACCATTTTATGCCCATGGTCTACAATTCCTCAGAGACTAGCAGTCGTTGGCTTATTGACTGGTATAAGCCCTTGGATACTATTTTGAATAGTGTTGGTTAAAAGCACACAAATGTTTTGTGAGTTCATTGCTGTTTACACTCGCACATGACTAGAGATCTTCATATGTGATCCCTTCACTCCAAATCTCAAAATGATGCTCCACATGAGGTTGCAAAAGTATGTTTACCACCAGTGGGGGAGTGGGGATTGGGCTTGAACCAATACTAAACCACACAAAGTTAGCCCAATAGTATTTACACAGAAGGGATTTAGTGTAAGTTGTGCAATTTAACAGAAGCAGATTCCTCCTTCCTTACAGCTATGCTTCATTGTGGTCAAAATGAGCTTTAGAAAAAAAAAAAGGAAAAAGAGAGAAAACTATAGGTTTTATATGATTTAATGTTGATCTCCTCCATATTTTGGTTGCCTCATTATGGGTGACCATGGAAGAATGAGGCAGAAATTTCAGGATGTATGATTGACTTCCATCTTGTTTTGGAAGTTAAGCAGGGCCAGTTCTGGTTGGTACTTGGATAGAAGACTACCAATGAATATCAGGTACTATAGGTTGTATTTCAAGGGAAGGAACTGGCAAAACCACTTCTGAGTATTCCCTGCATAATAAAACCCATGATTTGGAGGCAGACACATACGCATACACATGATTGGTTCACATTTAGTTATTGTGCACTGTAGGGATGCTCATGCGTGAATGTACAATGATGGAAGAGCATTAACTGCAACACTTGGCAGCCCAAAGTGACACAACAACAACAACAACAACAACAACAACAACAACGAGTGAATACCATAAAAATACAATGCAGAGCAGAAGAGAAAACTGGCAAAAAAGGCTCTCCATGGACAGTTTCTGGGAAAAAATTGAGAACAAAATTAACAAGGAAAAAACATGGATGTGGCTCACAAATGAACTTCTATTAAGGCATGTCCACATTTGCAAAGCTTTGGAAAAAATACTTTTTGACTGCAGTTCTCAGCATCTCCAAAACAGCATGGCCACCATGAAACAATGTTTCATCAAATGAATTACTTGATGTCTAGTCTCTCAAAGGGAATTTATTGCAACAATGAAGCATTGTAACCATTTCATGGTTACAATAAATTTTCTTTGTGAGTTTAGACATCCCATGAATCAGTCACAAATGCCAATAAATACTGGATGATAGACAGTCATAATAATTGCTTACTAATAATCGCAGTAAGTACTTTATGCGTAAGCACATCCAACAGCGTGCACACATACACATGAATGCATATAAAATGAGTAGGAATTGTTCAGCCCTTGGGATTGGCATTCTTCATAACTGGCTATGCCAGTCAATTTTAAATTGTGAGTTTTAATCTGCATTTTATCAGTGGTTATTAACTTGTATTTTAACTGTATAATGATGTTGTATGCTGCCTCACAGGGAGAAGCAGGTAATAAAGTGATAATTATTAATAATATTAGTATGTATCTAATGGTCAAACCCACTCATCAGCTGCACATTTGCTCAGTGCATACAATCGTCCTAAGCATACATGTTGATCCCTGCATTTCGTAAACATTTCCAGAACTCCATTACTAATATGACCAGTACCCTGGATTCTAGTAGTTATAGTCCAGAAATGTAATGACTGGCAAGTTGTTGAATTGTTGTTCAAGTTGTTGTTGAATTACACTGGCATAAGTCAGATTTACTCTCTTGGAACTCACTTTTTGGTTGTAGTGTTGGTTGGCATTCTGTGTAGTGACCAAAATACCCTCAAACCCAGCTTGTATGCAGCACAGCTCTCACAACAAAGCTATTTTTGTGTTGTCATAGAGTCAAGGGTGAGGCAGGGGAACATGCCCAACTATTTTCCTATATCTGGACATGTTGCAAGGATTATATCTGCCAGGACCTCTTGAGACTTCTAGATTGCTGGAGCATATCAAACTACAGGAAAATAGTCATGCATGCCATAGAATCATTGAGTTGGACGAGAACCCATTCAGGATCACACAATCAAAGCACTCCCAATAAATGGTCATCCATCCTCTGCTTAAAAACTTCCAGGGAAGGAGGCTCCTCCACACTCCCAGGCAGCAAATTCCACAAATGGCTCTTAGGTCCTTGCTGATCGCTTTTATATTTGGAAACAATAAAATGTTAATGTTTGGGGGAGAGGCTGCATTGCTTGCAAGGTGAATTTGGGGAGGATAGTTTTGAGAGAAGTAGTTATAGAGACATAGCTGTGTGATGTTTGTACAGTCAGTTCTTCACATGTGTGGGTTTGACTTTGGTAGATTGCATTATTCACAGATTTGATTAAAATATTCCTTCTAGGAATCTCAAGTCCCTCCCGTGCTGCTTTGAGGTCAACTTCTGCTGGAAGTTGATCCTAGAGTCATGCTGTAATCCATAGAAATTCTTAAGGACTATGACCTGATGGAAATTGACTATAGAAGAAACGAGACATCCCTAGAAAGGTGTTCTCAGAAATAAAACAATAGGAAATTTTATTATTTATGGTTTTCTCCTTTTGCGGGGTCCTGTTCCCTTAACTCCAGCAAATGTGATGGGCTGAATGTCTGGCTCTTGTGTTTTTTTGTGTTTTTTTTCCATGTCAGGGGCGACTTGAAAAACTCCATGTTGCTTATGGTGTGAGAGAATTGGTCATCTGCAAGGGTGTTGCTCAGGGAATGCCTGGATGTTTTACCATCCTGTGCAAGGCTTCTCTTATATCCCCATATGGGAAGCTGGAGCTGACAGATGGGAACTCACCCTGCCTCCCAGATTTGAACTGCCGATCTTTCAGTCAGCAGTCCTGCTGGCACAAGAGTTTAACCCATTGTGCCACCATGTCTTCCTTCTCTCTTGATATTTCCAGGCTTTGAGAGAAGTAGTGAAATTGAGACTTTTCACATGCCTTTTCTTTAATCTGCCTGATTGAGTTCTCTTGGGAACTCAACATTTGAGTGAAACAAAACTTTTCCAGAGTTTGTCCATTTACTCTCTGTACTCTTGAGACCATAAGGCTGCAAGTCATGCTTGGAATGGAGTTCGGTCAAGTTCTCAAGCCTCTCAGGAAGGAGGGATATTGCTCAGGTGTTTTTGAAAACAATTTCTTTTTCATATTTCTGACTTGTTCAAAAAACCAGCAATGCAAAACTTCCAAGGTGAAAACATGAATCATACCAAACACCAAAGACATTTCTTGGGAATGCAGAAAGAAAAACAGAACTAAAAACATTGTTTTCCCTTGGCTCCCTGAGCAAAAATTACCCATCATATTTTAGCAAATGCTAAAGGATATTTCTTTGCACAACCAATTCGGAAAATTTCCTCCACATCTATCATGTCTCTCATCTATATTCCTACCACAAGACTCCGAATTATTATTTTTTGCCTCTCTCCTATACATAGTAGCTGTTCAACACCCCAGGTAGTTTTTCTAGCGCATTAATTTTAATATGAATGGAGCACCACAAATGCCTTTGGAAGGTGTTAATTCCCAGTCTGAATCTATTTAAAGAAGCTGGAGCTGTTTGGGAGAGAAACCCTAATCAGATTGTAGCTACCGGGGCTTAGGTGGATCAATTACTTTACAGCTGGAATTGATTGCTTTTCATCGCCGGCTCCAGTCTTTTGATTACATGTTTTGGAAGTATGAAATGAATAGCTTTGGACTTACTGCAAGCATATGGACTAATCGGTACATAGTAGATAGATGTTCCTTGCCAAGTGTGCCTATGTCATGTCATTAGAACTTTTCTTCAACTGTTCAGTAATTGCATGCAGCAATGTTAACACTTTATAATACAATTTTCATGCTTATGCTTTGTTTGCAGAACAACACAGTTTGGGAGTCAGACTCATGTCAAGAGTGCCGTTGTCATGGTAATATTGTCCTATGCGAAGCCATCGTTTGCCCAAACCCACATTGCAACTTCCAGAAGGTAAGACAACAATAACAACATCCACCTTGCTGGGCTAAAATTGAGAACTGGACAGTGTTGAGGAAAAAAGGAAGATATTTAATGTTTTCAGGTTGGTAGGCAGGCAATTTTGCTACCTGGGCAAAATCAGCAAACCCACTGAACCCAAAACAAGGGGGATGATATCCAAAGCAAAGGTAGAAAAGTCCCAAAAACACCTTTCCCAGGAAATAGAAATATAGTGGCAATGAAGTCAGTAAGGAACAGTTCTCTGCTCTTTCATGATCCCCAAATCTGCTGTTAGAGTTGGCCAATGTATTCTGGCTAATGATTGGGTTGGCCCTGGGTGTATCTACACTGTAGAATTAATGTAGTTTGACACCACGTGATGAATTGCTATGGCTGAATACTTGGAATATCATGAAACTGTAGTTTTACAAGGTCTTTAGCCTTCTCTGCCAAAGAGTGTGGATGCCTCACTGACCTTGCGAACCTCGATCCTTGCCGTTAGTGTTGATGATTGGGGTTTAGCTGATATCATACCTCACTATATAAGAAAGGGAGAAGATCTGATCCAGCAAATTGTAGACCCATCAGTCTACATTATTGTTGTTGTTCATTCGTTCAGTCATTTCCCACTCTTTGTGACCTCATGGACCAGTCCATTATTATTACATTATTACATTATTAGTCAATTATATTCTACCACCTTTGCAACAAATTAATGGATTGGCTGCATCAAGAGCATATTCAATTTGAAGCCCAAGCAGAATTTGGGGCTAAGTGGTAGACCGTTGATAAAGTTTTCTGTGAGTTTTCCAGACTGTATGGCCATGTTCCAGAAGCATTCTCTTCTGGTGTTTCACCCACATCTATGGCAGGCATCATCAGAGCTTGTGAGGCATACTGGAAACTAAGCAAGGGAGGTTTATATATTTGTGGAAGTTACAAGGTGGGAGAAAGAACTCTTTGTCTGTTAGAGGCAAGTGTGAAAGTTGCAATTAATTACCTTGATTAGCATTGCAAAGCCTTGCATCTTTAAGGCTTGGCTGGCGGGGGGGGAGGCCCGTAGCCAGGATTTTGATTGGGGGGGGGGGCTGAGTCTGAGTGAAAGAGGGTCTACCCTAGCAAACCTTTTGTATCGTTACCCCAATACCCCCATGCATCTGGGATATATATGCTTTGCTAAAAGGAAGATTTAAGATTTTAAATCTTCCTTTGATCTCATCTCACGATAGACGTTATGGGAAAATTAAAGGGACACAAACATAGATGCTTTTAAATTCTCACCTGCAATCTGTATAAGAGCACAAGGCTTCACATAGATATCACATAGATATCACTTCCAGGGACACTTAACAGATGAAACACAGACCTACATGAGGAGGTAAACCTTTGTCCTTTATTCTAAAGCAGTGGTTCCCAACCTTTTTTTGACCAGGGATCACTCTCCAACATTAGTATCAAAAGAGTTACAAATCAATTTTTTGGTCAACTTTTGATTGAGTTTGGTTATTTGGGGTGCTGATTCAGAAGATTTCATTGGATAGACCACATCAGCTCTGGTTTCTGATACAGAACATATGTCATCCAGTAGTCGCCATCTGCTCACGCACAGAAAACCATATTTAATAATCTAGAACTGATGTGGTCTATCCAATGCAATTTTCTGAATCAGCATCCCAAATAACCCAAGGAACAGGCCTAAAAATGAAGAGAATAATATGTTTTTTTGGTTGGGCTGTGTTATTATCCGTAGTAGTAATAGTGAGGCTGCAGACCATATTTTAGTTCTTGTGGACCACAGGTTGGGAACCACTGTTCTAAAGAAATGCAGCCTTAGAAGAATCCAGAGCTTGGAAATATTTTCTTTATATTTTTTAATGTCTATTTGCAACATTTGAACTGAGGAATTAAAAAAGTCATTATTTTAATCAAAGAACTCCAGCAATTTTAATTCCGAGTAATGTCTTGTTACTTTGATTAGTTACTGTCCAATTTTGATAATTTGAAATGCCATTTCTAATTTAACAATTTAATGGGATAATTAACAATTAGCAAATTATTTTATACAGTTCCCATTGCAGTTTTAAAGCAAATGAATAAGATATTTTAATGACTTAACATTAGCACGCCAACAATATGCAAAGCATCTTGCAGCACCTTCGCTCAGAGCATTTCAGGAAGTAGAATTAGTCTACAAAAGCTTATGCTAACAATTTTGTTCTCTCATTTAGTCTCGAAGGTGCTACGAGATCAATTGAATACTGATATACCAGAATAACATGGCTAGTCTTTGAATGCTAACAGTAGAATTTCTAAACTCTGGAAGATTGGGTTTCTATCCAGACAGAGTGATTTCTGCCACCCATGTTTTCTTATTTAGGGAGAAGTCCTCCAAATATCCCCCAATGCTTGCTGCCCTAGTTGTGTTTCCACAACAGCGGGATTTTGTGAACACGAGGGACAAATCCATGAAGTAAGTATTTCCTATATGTTTGTTTTTTGATATGTTGCTTTTGAGAATGACCAGGTTGTATTGCTGGTGGGAACTTGTAAGAAGGGTGTCATTTTTTACAGAGAGAGATTCTGAGAACTTAGTTGGAAATATAGGCTTGAACCTTGCTGACAACATAGGCAGTTGTAACCTGTGATGCTAGCCAATGTCCTTTAAAGGTCATTATGGAAAGAGGTGCTAGTAACTCCTTGTACAGCAACACACATTTACACAACCATGCGTTCTGCACAGTCTGGCTGCAATTTTACATCTGGGAACCAAAGAAGAGCCATCTGTCTCCTAGTACTGGAACATACTTAATCCTTTTTTTCCTATTTATTTTATACTCCCCCCACTTTATTTAATACATCCC